TGTCTTACAGAAATCTTTGTTCTGTTTTCTGTTTCTATTCTTGATTCGCAGAAAGGATATGAATCTATTTTCCATTGTAAAGATATTTTAATTTATAAAATGACAATGCATTTTCTTTGAATTTGTATTAAATTAAATCTAGATTTCTTTTTAGAATTGGACGGAAATATCTTGTTTCAAAAATGTTTATAAATTTGAAAAGTCATCAAGATAAAGTATAATTTATGAGGGGGGGGGGGGAAAGGGAGGGGGGACTTTCTGCATCTTTTATGAATGAATCTTTCAAGATTTTAATCGTTTTTTTTATTGGCTATAGAATACTAGGTACTAGGTAGCAAAAAATGTCATACTAAATATTTTGTTTAATACGTACACATAGTGAAAAGAGTATTATTTCATTAAGTCCTCTTCAAGTTACGACATGTTCTAACTTAATCGTGGAAAAGTGTTTTCTTTTCAGGGCAAGGGTGTAATGCAAGGAAATTTTATTGCGGTCGTGTATACTCTGCGTACATATTGAAACCAGTTCTTTTTGGGCGGAATTTGTAAACAAGAATAGATGCATCAGTTTTCGTTTAGTATCCGAGGAGGTTAAAAGCATTAAATTGGATAATTTTGATAATTCACATAATAGTTTCCTATGACCAGAATATTTCATTGATTTTTTTATGTGCAAGATGGATCCTATGTCAGGCTGTAGCCTGTAACATCCGTCTTGTGTTTACATTACCGCCCAGAGACAGTACACTGCAGTACAAAAGATGCGTACACCTCTGAAATAATTTTCCTTACATTAAATCCTTGTTTCAACGCATCTAAATGATTCATAATGAAAGTTATGTTATGAGTCATGACCTGATAAAAACCTTTTTGCGTTTGATATTGGGAACCCAACCAGGGTTCATCCCTATATTCATAATCTCATATAAGTTCATTGCTCCTAGTCGGAGAAATGATGCACATAACAAAAATGCAATCTAAGAATAAAGCCAAACAGAAAGGGTATTGAACGCCGGATATGTCTGCAGCCCTAAATTCGTAAAGGTGTATTTTCTAAAAGTTTCATTTAATTCTTACAAGTTGTGTGAGATCTTACAAAGTTTGGTGAGACTTACAAAGTTTGGTGAGATCTTACAAAGTACGTAGTATGAGATCTTACAAAGTACGTAGTATGAGATCTCACAACATTTTATGAGATCTTTATTATGAGATCTTACAAAGTATTATGTGGTCTCACAAACTATTATGAGATCATACAACGTATTATGAGATCTTACAAAGTATTGTATGAAATCTTACAAAGTTTGGTGAGATCTTACAGATTTTTATGAGATCTTACAAAGTATTATGAGATCTTTATTTGAAATCTTACAAAGATTCTTGAGATTTTACTCAGTAATCAGTATTATGTGATCTTTTAAAATATTAAGATATCTTACAAAGTATTGTGATCTTACAAAGTATTATGATATCTTACAATGTATTATGATATCTTACAAAGTATTACAAGAGTCGATCAAGCTTTCCTCTAATTTAGTCCACAATGTAAACAATGTTCAATAGCTAAGTCTACGACAAATTTGAATATATTTGCTATATTCTTCAATTCTTCTTTGCTATATTCTTTTCAATAATAAGACAATAGAGTGCTGCATACTGCGTACGCACATTGTACAGTGCACTGTGCACATCCCATCCTGTCTGTGTTATACAAACACACCGAACTCTGGTGCTTAAAGCAACAAAGTATAAAACAAGCAGTAATTACCTCTAACAGGCACCTAGCACAATGAATAGTGTCACCTTCTACCACCCTCAGGCATATTTCCGTCAGGGAAGCAACATTTAATTCAATTAAAGAGGTATACAACGGGAATATGAATTCAGGACCCCACATCCCACCCTCTTAGCTGCTCTAATCAAAATTCTCCTATACTTAGCTGCATAATTCTTAATAATTATACAATACAACTTCTGACATAATAACTTTTCATAATTTAATATTTTCACCTCCCCTTGCCTCCACTTTCCCCCTCTTCCCTCCCCTTTCCCCCTCTTCGCTCCCCTTCCCTCCCCACTATCAAGTATAACTGTAAAACAAATCTTTAATGATATTGCATGATTGTATACATAATAAATATTCATATTTTACATGTATTGTCCCAGGACCCAGATTTTGACAAACTCTGTTCATCGTTGGAAGAATCCAGCAATTCTATTAACACTCTTCATCACAAAATATCAAAATTAAGGGGAGCGTCTCCCTCTCAAGAATTCTTATGTTCCTTAATTATTTTTTGTCAGAAATAAGAGACTTACAGTTCAGATCAATTAAAAACTAAAATATGCGATTTTTTCAACCGCAGGTTCTAATGTGTGAAAGTACTGTACATGACCAATCAGCAGACATTTGTATTCATTGATATTTAAGGTTAAGGATCCTTTGGATACGAAATACAAAATCTGTAAAAATAGACAAAATTCATAAATGTTATGTTTTATGTTAAAAATTGGAGTATTTCTTTAAAATTTGAAAGCTTAACCGCTGAATGGTATTATTTGCAACAAATGGCCGTTAGATGGCAGTCAACAAAACCTTTCATGGAACTGTAGCATGACGTTCCAGGACACAATATGCCTGCTTATCATATCCAGGTAGAGCATGATGAGCAGTCGGTGTTATAGTCTGTGTATCTTGTAGACAATTTGTGACAGCTTTATGATACAAATTTTGCATCTAGTCTAGAATAATCTAGGTTTGATTTCAAATTATAATAAACAAAGATCATTTAATAATATTAAAATATTTTATATCAAAAAGCGGACAACTCACCTTATATATTTCTCTAATTTGTACAACGTACTGTGCATTATTGTACTGTAGTCTGTACTGCGTGACCCTGTATTAAGCTGATTGTTCGAATGCAAGTGCAGTTTTCATCAGAGTGGTCAGTGGTCAGGGTATCTCAGATATTTCAACACCATAGTTTCTGAATACTATCCATAATCCATCCAGTGAAAAAGTGATAGTTTGTTTGCATATATCATACCAACAACCCTTTCACCGATTTGCCTCAATTTTTGACTGGGGATCTCGTTAGAACAATGTAAACGTACTGAGCTTGGCTTAATAATTCTACGTCGGATGGATTGACTTTTATAGAGTAAGTTAAGTTTCTAGTCAAAGTTAGGCTAGTATCAGTATCTATATATAAAGTTCTAATCTCTGTTTGGGTGCCTGTCTGTTTGTTTGCCCGCTCTTTACTTAGGAACCCGTAGACCGATTTGCCTCAAATTTTGTTTGGAAAACGTGGGAGACTCGAGGGACTGTCCTTAGCTTGGTTTTGATATTCTAAATTGACGGGGTCGACTTTAATAGCAAAAATATAGTTTCCTGGTTAAATCCTTCAAGTGCGGGTAAACGGCGGGAGTAACTTTTAGTAACCTGGGCAGCACTGGGTTCCCAAGCTAGTTAATATGTATTATTAATATATTTCAATTTGCGGTGTATAATAATTGCATCATCCGCAACTTTAGCCATGCCAAACCATACCTACCTTATACCTTTATTAGAGTAATGAATTCAACTCTTAGAGTAATGAATTCAATTTTTAGAGTAATGAATTCAATAATATCCATAATAATATTCGTACTGAATCCATCCCTTGAGGATGATTCTGACGAAACGCGTAACTTAAAGCTAAGTAACAGCCTTGCTATGAGTCAAGATGGTTCACAATTAATAAACGTTTATACTCCGTTGTCGGAGAACAAAGAAGAAAAGCGGGCTGAAATTGTTTGGTTTGGTTTCTCGTCTCCGAGAGGAGCTTTTAGGTTGAAGACGACATTACATGGAGGGGGGGTCTTAATGTTAATGGTTGACACCAGTATATCGCAAACATTCTTTAATAGTGGCGAAGACTAGTTTCGTTAACTAAAATTTCAAATTTCCATGAGACAGAAAAATCTAAACTTTAAATTAAAACTCGGTTTTGATCGTTAGTATTTTCTTCCGTTCCCCGACTAAGTTTGTTAAATCAATTTTCACCGTTCATATCTAAACCTAATATTGTGTTATAGTACTTATCTATTTACAAAAACAACACAAAAGTCGACATCAACAGATCTGAACTTTGAAAATAAAATCTATACCCCTATCCCAAGTTCCCAACCATGAAAATAAAATCTATACCCCTATCCCAAGTTCCCAACCATGAAAAATTTTCAGAAATAAAATTCCTTCTCCGTAAATAATTCAAGAAATGAAAATTATTTTTCATGAATTGTAATTGGTTCAAATACATTCTCAACGCTTAGGAGTAAAACTTGCAGTTTTTTCCTTTAAGTCGTCAACTGGAGAGGCCTTGTGTACCTTTCTAGCGAAAATCTTTACATAATTGCGACCAACTATTTTATAATTTAGGTTTTATATCCATGCTTCAGAGCAAAGCTGTATAGAGTACTATGTGTACTAACAATTCAGGGGTGAACAATATTGCCTAATTATTTTTTATTTATTAAATTAAATTTCCTCATTAATAATATTTTTATTTCAGAATATTTTTTTTTAAACGGATATCATGGCTTGGGCTTTCAAAATATGAAAAAGGTAACCAGGAGTATAAGCTACAAAAAAACTAATTCCTTGTTTTAACATTGTGATTAAATCGCCGGTCTACATGATGGTTGCCTAACAACACTGTAAAAATTGCGTAAAAATGAATTGTATTTTGTAGAGCTGAGTGACTAGTAGTTGAATAACAGCCTTACTAACTCCTATAGTCATTGTTAAACATTTATTTTTCTGTTTTCATCAAATTTCAACTTTCTAAAATTACAACCGCATTTTACATATATGTATTTACTTCAATGTGTGTTTGCTAACGATTTTCAAAATCCAAAAATTCAGTCTGCAGTGAATTTTATTTCAAAAAGATACTTTATTGGTGTTGCTAATACAAATTAGTAAAATATATAAAATAGATTTTTAATTCAGTTTATGATGAATTCAAAAATGTTTCTGTTTCCTACCCTGCTTCTAGCACTTTTCAGGTATTTTTTAACAATAATAATCTTTTGAAATTTTTCTACAGCTGATGTTGCCTTTCTGTTTTTCATTCTGTAATAATGAGGCCATTGTTTTATTGTATTTTTATACTAAGTATGTAATTAGACAAAATCAGTGTTGATATAAAATACCTAATTTACGTCAAATATGACGCATCGTCCCTACTTCATACTTCGTCTAACAATGCGTGACTTACATCATACTTACTCTTTAAATACATCCGTAGACGTCTTCAGGAGACTTCCGTAACAGTTTCGGTAAATTTTTTTAGAATACTTAATTGCCACACATCTTTACTTATGTACAGAATACCAAATGGCAACTTATATTCTCGTTCATCAATGGGCTTTGGAAAAGCAAATAGCGACACATATCTGTTAATCTTAAAAAGCTGTAAATGACAATTTTAAAAAGCTGTAAGTGACTAAAAGCATCACATTTTCTCGTAAATATATTACAGATATATCTTAAACTAGCTTGGGAACCCAGCGCTGCCAAGATTAATAAAAGTTACTCCCGCCGTTTACCCGCACTTGAACGATTTTACTGGGAAACTAAACTTTTGCTATTAATGTCGACCCACATTTAACCTATAATCTCAAAACCAAGCTAAGAACATTCCCCTGGGTCTTCCAAGTTGCCTAATACAAATTTGAGGCAAATCCATCCAGAAGTTCCTGAGTTATGACACGTAAATCAATAAATGGTTTGGAGTTGGAATAGATAGTAGCAACATATATTAATCAATGTGGATTAGAATAGCTATATGCCAACGCATGTAGTCATTATTTGCCGTGTTAAAATAGCTAATAGCAACACATATAACAATTATTCGGTGTTGGTGGAAAAAAAATATAATTACATAACGTTTGTTTATTATTGCTTTGTATTTTTCTATAGCAAATAGCAACACAAGACACCGTTTAACGGGTTTCGAAATAGTTAATAAAAATTATGTATCTTTCCCATGGTGTGATATGGAATAGCTATATATACACATATATTCATTGTTTGATTGGGTTTGGAATAGGTTATAGCATCTCATTATTTTGAAATTGTTAACATCTGCCTAAATGTATTTATCTGTGGGTTTTGGAATAGTTAAAGAGTGGGATTTGTACCTTTAAACCTAAACCTGAAATTTTTAAACTTTAAATTTAATGAGTTTACCTTATTCAAACGTACTTTGCTTAAACTCTATCCCCCCACCCCTCATAACATTCAATACTAAGTACATATAAAGCATGCACTATAGGCAATGAAGCATCCAATTTATGCGCCTTTCTCCCAATTTTCACATTTTTCCTACTTCTAACCCGCGCCCCCCCCCCCCCCCCCCCCCCCCCCCCATGGGGGGGAAAAAATGGGGGGGGGGGGGTTGACTGTTAAGATAATAATCTATTAGTATCATCTATTCTTGAATGGTATGCATTTAGTAATAAAGAATGTTGTGTTGCATTTTATGTAAATAAATGGAATAGTGGTTAATTTTGACAAACACTAAACATAATTGTAATTATGTTCTAGTTTACTTGAATAAAAATCCACAGCAATCAGTATTATTACCAAGGTGATAATGAGAATTTGAAATGTATATTCAACCCTTGTATCCCTGATATTTATGAATGAATATGAACCCCAAGGAGCTGACTAAATCCCCAAAAAGCCCCGTCAAACTCCCCAGCTAGGGCAACCTGTTTTTTACGCACTCTTCCGCGTCATTACTACCGGGTGTACCGGGCTATATACGTAACTTACGCATTCACGCAGTTTACCACCGCCAAACCGGCTGATAACACATACAGTAGTTGTGTCATATCGTTACTTCTTAGTGATATAAACAAAAAGAGTATTAATAATATGTCATCTTCAAAAAAATCTTCTTTTGGCATAAATTGTTGATGAAATTTTAATTACATAAATCATATTGTAGTTAAAAATTGTAGTCATGTATCCTTCAGGTGAATTCTCAGAAGCTTGTAAAATCAAAGCTTAAAAATGACATAATGTTTGGAATTTAAAAATACAAATAAAAACAGATTTTAGAACGGTTCTAAATATCACCCCTGCCCCCCTCCCCCCTATAAAAAATTCTAGAAATAAAGATACAGTATGAAATGATTTTAATGAAATCATAAAACAAACTTTTTATCTAATTGTTTTACGGATAAATGATTATATTTATATTAACTTTATTTTTATTTTTTTTGTCGGAAAAACTACTAATTTTTTTTAATTTATGTAATTGATTTAGTATTTTTCTGATTTCAGTTCATTATATTTAAAATATTTTCCTTCACTGACTGCATTCTATAGTTATTTTTCCTCTTTTTAAAATTGTCGTTTTAAATTAATTTGTTGTTACTTTTAAATTTTTTGAGAAATATGTGTTTAAAAAGCATGTAGTTTTTGTTTGTTTTGATTTCAGTAGCGATATTTTTGGTTTCTTTTAATTTTCATTTTGTATGAGTGTTGACGTGTGTTGACTTTTCAATAATTTATTTCTTTGTTTTGTTGATTTAAAAAATGACGCTTGTTGCTTTAATGCTAAAAAAAACACATTTATTGATCAAAACTAGGAATAACATTTAAATTTACAATTTTATGAATAGGGGCATACTAGCTATAAGAGCAAAAAGCAAATTATTGATAGGAATTATGAAATGAATGCATCTACAATATTTATTCATAGTCTGAAGAGGATGTTTCCCAGGCTCTTGTTCATTCATCCAATGGTCCAACAAAAAAATGCATCATATTTTAACAACTTTTTTATTTATTTTTAATTTCTTTACAAAACACAATGGGAATCAGGTAACAGTGAATTTTTCTTTTAATTATGTTTTGTCGCATACCTGAAGAACGGTCAAACGGCTGGTCGTTATTTAAAAAGAAAATATAAAACAGCCAATATTAATTGAGCTACAGATCTAAAACAACATGTGATAACATGTTAATATTTGTCAAAAGTAAAAATAACTATTTTTCAACAATTTTCTGACGCAATTGTTCAATTTGTTTTGCCTTCTTTGCAATCTAACCATTAAAGTAGAGGTCTAATTTTTGGAATGAGTTGGCCTTAAAAAGTTATTCTAGGAACATGTATCGCACTCCCCTTTCTCAACTCTAAGAGCAAAATTATATATTTGACAAGAAAAGCAATCGGTATAGGGTTAAGCTGAAGAAAGGGTGGGGAAGGGGGTCGAGAGAGGCAGGGGGGATTTGTAATTTAACCAATTGTACGGTAAATTATAATCGTACAATTTGTTGAAATAAACGATTTCAGATTTTTCTAGCTCTGGAAATCGCTTTCAGGGACAATTTGTAAAGTTTTTATATAACTAATCCCTATTTGAAAAAAAAACAGTGCACAGTGATCTAAAGGTTGCAAACACTCGCGCTAAAATCATTGAAAATTTTGCCAATAACTTGTTAAAAAGCATAATACAAATGCTTTGTAGAAACGTACAAGTACATGTTTAGTGCTACACATAAAGGCAATAAAGTTAGTTCGTTAAAATAAACACCAGGTCATTGCGACACTTTTAAATTGGCCCAGTCTTGAACATTGATATAACTTTTAATAGCAGCATGTATGTATCGACAATTGTAACGTTAAATTAATACTTTAAAGCCTCATTCAAAACCCCTGTAAATGTTATACTGATCAATTTTGTACGTTTTAAAATTAAATTAGTTTTTCAATTTTAACAGTTTGTCAAGTTTTTAATACTTTAACTATCTTAAATCTTGAAAAGTGAGTTGAAAAAGTTGAGAACCTTGTTTAACGTATCAATAAATTTTTCAAAAAGTAAGTAAGAATAAATTCCTTTGATGTTATGTCTTCCCAAGCACAATGTATGACATAATTGTATAAAATGATTTGATGCATGAAACCTCTAAACTCTCTCTGTATTAATTAATTGGTAGAAACTCGAGAGGTTTCAAAATAACAAAACCCAGTTGTTGTCGCAAAGGAACAAGATTTTGACGATGAACAGATAGACAAGGAATAACCCTCAAATAAAAATCGATAATGCAGAAAACTCTTTATTTCCTAAAAAAAATGAAATGAATAATGATAAATAATTATTACAATGGTTTACAAATTTATAATGAAAAGATTCTTACGATCTATTTGCTTATTTAATAACTCGTTAAAAAAAAAATCTTGTGATAAATTCATATTTTCAACAATCTTGTAAACCATATAAACAATGATACTCAAATAAATATCTAGATTTTAAAAAATATATTTCAATACAGCTATTTTTTTGATTTCATAATAGTTGAATCCAAATCCATTTTCAAAGTGAAAGAACTTAAAACAATTTTGAGAACTTAGAAATTACACATTCTTTATTTACTTTTTAGCAACAATTAATAAGGTATATATTTTAGAATTTTCTTTCCCTTCTAACTTTAATTGTCCTTAGTTGCTCCCTACCACCATGCACCCCCTACTCAATGTTCCATCCTGCTCTGAAACCATCTAAATATGAATTTGGCTTGTCCGTCTGTCTGTCTGTCTGTCTGTTTGTTTGTTTGTATCCAATAAACGTCAAAACGGCTGAACCGATCGGGCCCAAATTTTTTGTGGGACATCTAGGGACCCCAGGGAAGGTTTATGAAAGATT